GTGTTCAGATCCCCTTCTCCCCTTTCCGAAGAAAGAAGCGAGAGCCACGTACGGGGAAAGACGACGATGGCCCAGCAAACAGTCCACAAACATCTGCCAATCCGAAAATGAAGTTCCTTAGTCAAGTGTGCCTATCCGCAGCTCTGCTTTTGTCACAATGCAGTGCTTTCAGCCCTCTTGCCTCCACTAGTCGACAAACTACTATTGTGCAAGATGCAATGAAATCGCAATGGACAATGATGCCCGATGAGCCAACACCTGAGGTAGGTCGCTTCCACGTGTTCAACTGGATCTTCTGATGTTTCGGATCTTACAATTGCTTTTACTTACTGCGTTGGAATTATTAGGTTGATCCTCGGCGCAAGAACCCTGATGAGCAACCACCATCTCCCCCTGTTCGAATGCCCGTCATTGATACTGAAAAGGGTCAAATGGATGTCATTAGTCGATTGTTGAAAGATCGTATCCTATTGCTAGGACAAGGAGTTGACGATGAAGTCGCAAACGTTTTGGTTGCCCAGCTTCTTTACCTTGCCAACGAGGACCCAGAAAAGGATATTACTTTGTACATCAACTCTCCAGGTGGATCTGTTTCTGCCGGTATGGCCATTTACGATACCATGCAATACGTTCCATGCGATGTTTCCACTGTCTGTTTCGGTATGGCTGCTAGTATGGGCGCCTTTTTGTTGGGTGCCGGTGCCAAGGGAAAGAGACGAGCACTTCCAAACTCCAGAATCATGATCCACCAACCTCTAGGAGGAGCCCAAGGTCAAGCCGCCGATATCGAAATCCAAGCAAAGGAAATCCTTTTCATTCGTGAAGTTTTGAACACTTACATCGCTGAATACTGCGACCAACCAAAGGACAAAATTGAAGCCGATTGCGACAGAGATTTCTTCATGACTCCAGAGGAGGCTGTTGATTACGGAATCATCGATGAGGTTGTGAAGACAAAGACAAGCCACATTGTCAAGCCTGAAATGCCTATCTTGTAATCAATAGTTCGAAAACAAAACATTAGAAAATTTTAACTGCTCCAAAGTATTATAAGTCCTAGAAAGCAAATTTCAAGACAGGGTTCACATTAAGTGGGCTTCTTTGCAGCGTCGTCAAAGGAAGTGTTTTCAGTCCTGAGCGACAGCACTTTGCCACAAACACTTGTGCCAGATATCAAACGACCACAGCTTTTTGTCACCGTGCGTCGCCATGAATTGAAGTGGTTGACCATCTAAGACTTCCTCCAGCTTGATGCTGCCAACCATACTTCCCAGCTCAATAGAGAATTCTTCGAAATCAAAGAGATGCTGGAGGAATTCAAAGGTGTAAATCTTGGATGTATCTGTCATCTCTTCTTTCGAGCCATGTACAAACAATTTGTCAAAGTTTCGCTTTCGGAACTTTGCACGTTGCATTGTTGACTCAGCTCCAGAAGCCTCTCCGAGTAGGGTATTCCTCCCTTCTGTCGGTTCCTCTCGAATGTCATCCAAATAATCTGATTCTTCAGTCTCCACTAAAATAGACTGAGGGGTGCTCCCAAGAGGCGACAGAGAATGCGGATGTTGGCCATCAAGCCTTGCATCGAGTTGTGGGGCAAAGAATTTGAGAACTTTGATGGCTCCTCGAAGAATCCACTTTGGTGGAAGTTTACCGCACGGCCTTTCAAAGCGGAAACCAGTTGAGAGTTCGGTTAAAGGGATTTGTTTCTTGAAGCGGCCACGGACAATAGCTTGATAACGCCTGTTTAAGCCTTCAAAGTATCCTATGTTGTCATCATACGGTTCCGGTGTTGTTCCCTCGGAGAAGCGCAATCGAAGGAGAAAGGTACCCTCAAAGTCATCTGTCTCAAAGTCAATAACGAGTGATTCCCCACTCTTTTCATTGCCATTGTTGATTGGTAGAATTGCACACTTCTCACAACATCTATGGGTTGGAGTTTCGTGACAAAGCTTGCCCCATCTCGATGCCAGTGGATCGGTCCAACTCTTCTCTGATTCAGGGTTCCAAAAGTGTTCCTTTTCGGAAGCAAAACGTACTCCCTTAATTCTTGTACCACTATTTCGTGTCGGACGAAGCAAGAGTGGTGCTTGTGGCCACGACTCCGGGTTCAGTGGGGGCAAGCTACTGCGATCGCAAGGGCACTCGATACTATTATCAGCTAGTGATCTCTCGCCCTTTGCATCTGGATCGTATTCACCCAGGTACTGCAAAGATCTTTGTCTTCGTATGCTTCCGCTCTTCTTCAACTCTGTAGATAGTCGACGATTGGACCGGTTCAGGCGGGATTGTTGTACTAATGCAGGTGATTGAAGTTCAGACGACCTATTCTTCAGAGATATGGATTCAACCTCCTCATCATCATCCCAGAGATTAAGTCCCTCTTGCAGCTGAGACGCAAATATACATTCTAATGACTGTTGCACTGTGGGGTCCTCTGGCATTCGATTCTGTATCACATGCTCGTCATCAGCTTCAAAACTGTGATCAGCTCCACAGCACTCCAAACTCAGGATTGCTGTTGCGCAACTGAAAGTTTTACTTGGTTGCGATCCTTCTTCTGGTTCATGTATCGTTTCCGGTATGGGTTGTGCCGCTTTTGACTTTGATTTGGGAGATGAAACCGCGAATACACGAGTGTTTCCAAGTGATGATGTGTATTCCTCACTGATATCAGTCGCAGTTCCTGTGCTCCCCTTGGACCCTTTGCTAACATTTCGTGCAAAAAATACCGGGCGACGCAGAAAATGAACTGGAAACTTGCGTTTTCGTTTTGCTGGGCTAATTGGGTTCGGAGGTACCTCCTTGGGAGCCTCCTTTCTCGGTGTTTGAGGATCACTGGATACACTCTTGGATCGACTACGCGCTAGCAGTGACTTTGGCAATCGAAAAGCTCTAACAGGAGAACTTCTCAATGGAGACCTGGGAGACTTCGAAGACTTTGGACTGAAGCTTCGTATTTGTCGAGGTTCCCAATCATGATTGTTGGTTTCATCCACCACTCTTGGAATCTCAAAGGAACGGGAAGAACGCCTTCTCGACTGATATGCAATTGACCTTTTGCCCATGGTTGGACACTGAATGAGTACAGTTCACTGTTTCAATGGAAGTGGCAGTTACTCCAGGCCTGAAATACGGATCAGGACTGATTGCTTGCTTTCTCAGTTTCCGATCAGAGAATGATGTTCCGCGCCGGGACGTTCTCTGGTAGGAAGTAGTTAACGGATGAGCGTTTAAGAAGTACTGAAAATGCGTAGAAAGGGCAAAACCGTTGCCCTTCTTGTTGTGTCGCCGGCGTTTCTCGTTAGCGCGCGAAACAGTGCTGCCTGTCGAGCCATTGCTTTTCTCTATGATTTCGCATCATGATACAGTCGTCTCCCATAAAACAGATGCTACCTATTTATTTAAAAAAAAACACTCGCGATGATTCATGCTCAAAATAAATCTTCCGAGAAACATCTAGTCATCACAACATTGGAATCACATGACAGTATAAGAACCTCAACACCAAGTTTTTAGCGCCACCCAAGAATGTTGTGCATCGGTCTAGTTGATACAACGTCACAAGAATCCA